TTAGAAAGAAAACTCCCTTGCCCATCACCGTGAGTTCAGGGCACTGTGCTGAAGGAGATACTGACTTATAAGAAATGTAAAGTGGTGCCTTCCATGGTGACAAGTTCCCACAATACTTTTTAGAAAAATAGAGATTTTAAGCTTTGGTTTCCTACCATATTCTAGTTCAGGCAATTGGTTTTGGCTTACCTAATTTTTCCTTGCAGCTTCAGTTCACTTCCTGTCCTATAGTAGTACTTTGCCTTGCTGAAAATCTGCTGTGTTTCAGCTTCAGTGTAGCTGCACTTCAGTTTTGGTGAAGCAAGCCATTGTGTCCACATGCATGTTTTACAGAGGGGATGTGAAGCTCAACATGTGAAAAGTGCTTTGAGATTATTTGGTAGATGAATGAGCACTTTGGAAGTAAAAATGAGTTTTATAACCTTAAGGTCTCTGGAGATTATTCCAAAAAGTAGCCAAGGGAGAGACCCTAGTGTGTAAATGGGAAATGAGGACTGTTTGGAAAGAACAACCTTTAGGTCAGTCTGACATCTGTTGTTGTCTGTGGGAAAATATTCCTCACCCAAGCTGTACTCAATAGCTGTATGAGAATGTGGAGAAGAAATTACTGGCTGTCATCATCAGTAATGGTAGACACCCACTACTACTTGGGAAAGTTTACTAAAGCTACATGCCAAGCAGGAGGAGATCATAGTGTTTTGGAAAAGGAAGAGCTGGTGTTGGAAATCAAAAGCAAAGCACTGTAGGAGAAATAAGGGAAAAATAAGGACATGGAAGTATTATCACAAATGGAAACTAAAGATCCCTAAAAACCAGCTGCAGCTGCTTAAGAGCAGGAACAAGTAAGCTGGGATTCTTTCGTAATGAGAGAAGGCCTGTATAGAAAAAGCATCCTGAAACCTAACTGAAGAATAACTTGTGGGATGCAATAACTTACACCTATAAAATAAAATATATGGTAAAGGGAGGTCATGCACTGCTTTAGTCCCGTGTTTCTTAGTCCGTGGGCCATGACCCAAAAGAAGGTCACAAGAATATACGAAAGGGTCATGAACAAACTTTAAAAATGGATTCTACTTTAAAGGAGAAAAATGTGGGAAACTGGCTTTTCCCTTGTGGGCGGTCAGGGCTCTAGCCTGCGAGGGGCTGCTTGGGGGTCCCCCTGCCCCAC